AAAACGACATAGCAGCGAAAGCCAAATCTGACCCGAAGCTGTTATACAGCCACATCAGGAGGAAAACAACAGTCAAGGACCAGGTAATCAGGCTGAGGAAAGAAGGAGGAGAGACAACAAGAAATGACCGTGAAGTATGTGAGGAACTCAACAAGAGATTTAAAGAAGTGTTCACAGAGGAGAAAGAAGGGGCTCCAGAAAGACGGCGAGGTGGGGCACACCACCAAGTACTGGACACAGTACACACAACCGAGTAAGAAGTGAAGAGGCTTCTGAGTGAACTAGATACCTCAAAGGCCATGGGGCCAGATAACATCTTTCCATGGGTCCTGAGAGAGGGAGCAGAGGCGCTATGAGTACTCCTAACAACAATATTCAATACATCTATCGAAACAGGGAAATTGCCTGAGGCATGGAAGACAGCAAATGTAGTCCCAATCTTTAAAAAAGGAGACAGACATGAATCACTAAACTACAGACTAGTGTCACTGACATGTATAGTATGCAAAATCATGGAGAAGATTATCAGGAGAAGAGTGGTGGAACACCTAGAAAGGAATGATCTCATCAACAGCAGCCAACATGGTTTCAGGGACGGGAAATCCTGTGTCACAAACCTACTGGAGTTCTATGACATGGTGACAGCAGTAAGACAAGAGAGAGAAGGGTGGGTGGATTGCATTTTCTTGGACTGCAAGAAGGCGTTTGACACAGTTCCACACAAGAGATTAGTGCAAAAACTGGAGAACCAAGCAGGGATAACAGGGAAGGCACTACAATGAATCAGGGAATACTTGTCAGGAAGACAGCAGCGAGTCATGGTACGTGGCGAGGTGTCAGAGTGGGCACCTGTGACCAGCGGGGTTCCACAGGGGTCAGCCCTAGGACCAGTGCTGTTTCTGGTATTTGTGAATGACATGACGGAAGGAATAGACTCCGAAGTGTCCCTGTTTGCAGATGACGTGAAGTTGATGAGAAGAATTCATTCGATCGAAGACCAGGTAGAACTACAAAGGGATCTGGACAGGCTGCAGACCTGGTCCAGCAATTGGCTCCTGTAGTTCAATCCCACCAAGTGCAAAGTCATGAAGAATGGGGAAGGGCAAAGAAGACCGCAGACGGAGTACAGTCTAGGGGGCCAGAGACTACAAACCTCACTCAAGGAAAAAGATCTTGAGGTGAGTATAACACCAGGCACATCTTCTGAAGCGCACATCAACCAAATAACTGCTGCAGCATATGGGCGCCTAGCAAACCTCAGAACAGCATTCCGACATCTTAATAAGGAATCGTTCAGGACCCTGTACACCGTGTACGTTAGGCCCATATTGGAGTATGCGGCACCAGTTTGGAACCCACACCTAGCCAAGCACGTAAAGAAACTAGAGAAAGATCAAAAGTTTGCAACAAGACTAGTTCCAGAGCCAAGAGGTATGTCCTACGAGGAGAGGTTAAGGGAAATCAACCTGACGACACTGGAAGACAGGAGAGATAGGGGGACATGATGACGACATACAAAATACTGAGAGGAATTGACAAGGTGGACAAAGACAGGATGTTCCAGAGATGAGACACAGCAACAAGGGGACATAGTTGGAAGTTGAAGACACAGATGAATCACAGGGATGTTAGGAAGTATTTCTTCAGCCACAGGGTAGTCAGGAAATGGAATAGTTTGGGAAGCGATGTAGTAGAGGCAGGATCCATACATAGCTTTAAGCAGAGGTATGATAAAACTCACGGTTCAGAGAGAGTGACCTATTAGCGACCAGTGAAGAGGCGGGACCAGGAGCTCGGACTCGACCCCTGCAACCTCAACTAGGTGAGTACAACTATGTGAGTACTAATGAGTCAACACACAGCGTCACTCGCACTAGTGACTCAACACACAGGATCACCAACACTAGTGAGTCAACACACAGTCACTCACATTAGTGAGTCATAAACAAGGTCAGCCACACTAGTGACTCAACACACAGGGTCACTCACACTAGGGAGTCAAAAAACAGGGTCAGACACACCAGTGACTCAACACACAGGGTCACTCACCAGTAAGTCAACACACAGAGTCAGCCACATCAGTGATTCAACTCATAGGGTCAGCCAAACCAGCGACCGAACACACAGGATTACCCATACCCGTGACTGGACACACAGGGTCACCCACACAAATGACTCAACGCACAGTGTCACTCACACCAGCGACTCAACACAGTCAGCCACACCAGCGACTCAACGCAGTGTCACTCACACCAGCGACTCAACGCAGTCGGCCACACCAGTGACTCAACGCACAGGGTCACCCACGCCAGCGACTTAACACACATGGTCACCCACACCAGTGACTCAACACACGTCTTTCATAAATTACCATCCGGCTCCACCAACAGGCAGTACCAAATCGGCTGTTGTTCCTTCTTACTTGTGTCACTACTGAACTGAAAATTCGCACCAAGCGAATGTAGTAGCTGTGGTCTTGTCATCCTTACATTATCATGGAAGACCACAAGCACTGATGCTGGGAGTGTCCAGTATGGTAGCTGTGGTCTTGTCATCCTTACATTACCATGGAAGACCACAAGCTCTGATGCTGGGAGTGTCCAGTATGGTAGCTGTGGTCTGGTCATCCTTACATTACTATGGAAGACCACAAGCACTGATGCTGGGAGTGTCCAGTATGGTAGCTGTGGTCTGGTCATCCTTACATTATCATGGAAGACCACAAGCACTGATGCTGGAAGTGTCCAGTATCGTAGCTGTGGTCTAGTCATCCTTACATTATCATGGAAGACCACAAACACTGATGCTGGAAGTGTCCAGTATGGTAGCTGTGGTCTGGTCATCCTTACATTACTATGGAAGACCACAACAAGCACTGATGCTGGGAGTGTCTAGTATGGTAGCTGTGGTCTGGTCATCCTTACATTACCATGGAAGACCACAAGCACTGATGCTGGGAGTGTCCAGTATGGTAGCTGTGGTCTGATCATCCTTACGCTCCCCACACCAGTGACTCAACACACAGGATCACCCACACTAGTGAGTCAACACACAGGGTCACCCACACTAGTGAGTCAACACACAGGGTCACCCACACTAGTGAGTCAACACACAGGGTCACCCACACTAGTGAGTCAACACACAGGGTCACCCACACTAGTGAGTCAACACACAGGGTCGCCCACACTAGTGACTCAACACACAGGGACACTCAAACTAGTGACGTAACACACAGGATCTCCCACACCAGCGACTCAACACACAGAGTCACCTACACTAGTGACTCAACACACAGGGTCACCAACACCAGTGACTCAACACACACGGTCACTCACACTAGTGAGTCAACGCACAGGATCACCAACACTTATGAGTCAACACACAGGGTCACCCACGCCAGCGACTCAACACACAGGATCACCAACACTAGTGAGTCAACACATAGGATCACCCACACTAGTGAGTCAACACCCAAAGTCACTCACACTAGTGAGTCAAAAAACAGGGTCAGCCACACTAGTGACTCAACACACAGGGTCACTCACACTAGTGAGTCAACACAGTCATTCACATTAGTGAGTCAAAAACAGGGTCAGCCACACTAGTGATTCGACACACAGGGTCACTCACACTAGTGAGTCAAAAAACAGGGTCAGACACACCAGTGACTCAACACGCAGAATCACCCACACCAGCGACTCAAGACAGTGTCACTCATATCAGTGACTCAACACACAGGGTCAGTCACACCAGCGACTCAACACAGTCAGCCACACCAGCGACTCAACGCAGTGTCACTCACACCAGCGACTCAACACAGTCAGCCACACCAGTGACTCAACGCACAGGGTCACCCACGCCAGCGACTTAACACACATGGTCACCCACACCAGTGACTCAACACACGTCTTTCATAAATTACCATCCGGCTCCACCAACAGGCAGTACCAAACCGGCTGTTGTTCCTTCTTACTTGTGTCGCTACTGAACTGAAAATTCGCACCAAGCTAGTGTGATGTTTTGACATAGTGACGACTCTGCAATTACCAGTTAGAGTAGCATATGTGTCTCTGTGGTGCAGTGGTGGAGGGTTGGACTGGTACTCTGAGGAAGACCACACCACGGGTTCGAGTCCCGGCACCCCAGTCAATTCTTATATTCAACTGTTAACGAACTTTCAGTACAAACGTAGGCATTACCAAACATGACACCTTTAAATCACTCAGTAGCACAAAACAGATTAATATCCATATAAACACGCAACTCTTACAAGTATATAAACATCCATACATATTTACAAATGGTTATACAAGATTGCTAAAACACCCAGAGAGGAGACATACGAAGACATTCTGTCATGCAAATAAACATACAAGTATACACATACTAGGGCGCATACATAGCACATGCATGCACCCTAGTATGTGCATGCCATACACAGGCATGTTCAAGACACAGACACGAGACACGCGCCCATATGTATACACAAAAAAAAATTATAGACAAATTCTTCAAATTAGTTCCTGACCAGCCGGGCTGTGGTTCTTACGTTAGCCTGTGTGTGACCAGCAGTAACAGCCTGATTGATCAGGTCTTGATCCACCGGAATGGGGAAGTTGGCCTAGAGCAGGGCCGCTGGCTCGCTGCCACCTCAGAAACATTCTTCGTGTCTCCTTCGGGTTCCAAAATACATATATGTACAAGATATACAGTGAAGCACACTAAAATAAACTTAACGAAGCAGGCGTTTACCTGTGCATGTTCACACACACACACGCACACACACACACACACACACACACACACACACACACACACACACACACACACACACACACACACACACACACACACACACACAGGTTGAGAAACACTAGCACTCGTCAAGATACATGTTCACACAAGCATTCACAAAACACGCTCAAGAATTCCAACACAAATTCAAAAACCCTTTTCAAGGACACAGGCCTACTGTCTCTCACACAACAATACCAACGTACCTTGAAAGACATGTAGAGATAATGTGAATCAACAAGTGTCTGACAAAGGCTGCCGAGTGAGCAGGTAGATAGACGGGAATCCGGTGCGGTGTTGACCGGGACTGGTGCAAGAATTATATGGGAAGCATGACTTGGGCTCGCTGCTTTATATAGCTCCCATCCTCCCACCTTCTACGCGCCCAGCCAATCAGCGAGCACTCCGTTGACTGCCTCGCCCAACCCCAGCCAGTCCCGGGAGATTTTTCGCTCGCTGCTTCTCGAGGCATCGTCCAATCAAACGCCAGTATCGTCGACTGCCTTTCTCAGTCATTGAGGGATCCAGACAAATGATATTGGTGTGTCATATGTTTGATTACGGTGTTAAGGGAGAGACACAAAGGTTTAGTGGAGGGAACCGAGACCGACCCTTTATTAGCTAACATTTCTTCTGGGCCTCATTGTGACATAGGGTCATATGTAATTTATTATAGGCCCATGACTGGGAGTATAAGATCTGGGATAAATTATGAAATTATTGCACTTCGCTTTTTTTCCATCGTCTTGAGCAGTAAATATGACAGATGTGTCTATTTGTGCTTGCTATTACACCCCGCTGTCCACTTCTCAGCAGACACAAAGAAACTCTGTCCAGACATAAGCCATTGTTCATACACCAGTATTAAATGAGTCGTCAAAGGCCGTGTCATTCCCTAACACATAGATGTGTGCCATACAACGTATAGTGAGGAAATAAATGTATATTTGAAGTTCATAAAACCTGACAGTGAAGATGTAAAGCCTGGAAGAGTCTTTAATACCACGAGGGACCAGAATTAGGCAAACGAAAATTTGTGAATGCAATAATTTCGCAAAAATAATTCTAAACCTAACGAAAAAAATATATTTCATTGTATTTGTTTATTATCAAATTATTGTAAACTTATCTAAAATATATTTAATTGAGTTAGGCTAAATTAAATTGCGCTTGCTGTAATAAGGTTAAGTTTACTAAGGTTCATTTGGTACAAGATTATTAATTTTTACATTAGCATTAATTAAAAAATATATCTTTAAACGCATAAGAGAAAATTTTAGAAAGGACTTAATTTTAAACGAGTTCTTGCTAATGGACCAATTTTACCTATTCGGCACGACATATATATATATTATGCAATAATTGCGAACAAGCGACACAAGTTGCAAAACAAGCACAGGGGAAGTTGAATGATGGTTCTAGACCTTTCGTGTAGCAGTCAACACATCATCAAGAGCTTGCAATGTTGCAGAAATGAGTAGGAAATCAAGACAGTTTAGTTCAGGGGAACGTTCTGGCTCGAATGAGGTAGACATCAAAGGGACACCAGGCAGATCAGTGCCAGGTGCCAGACAGAGAGAACATAAAAGCATCAGAAGACAGCCAACCCACAAATGCTGATAATGTAGTAATGACCTAGCGAAACTAACGTTATTGCTATGACATTTATCAGAAATTCGGTCAAGCTTCGATACAATATAAAACACCTTAAATTCTGAATATAGATATATCTGGCAATCGTCTTAAGAAAAATTCCATAATTTTATGAAAACGGGTCTATGGCCGACTCAAAAAGGAGACATCTATAGTTTATACAGAGGGAGACGTCTATAGTTTAGCTATCCCACCCAACTCTTGAGCAGATACTTGTCTAACAAGAAGGCAGGAAAGTAGGACCTAATGCCTTGGTGTGGAATTACGACACTTAAGACAATCCAAAGCATTCGTATAGGAATCCGGCTTCAGGCTATGCACAATGGCCTCAATTATATACGAATCGAGTTTGATTAATAGATTTATAATTATTTATTCTAAAATATTTTTTTAAAGCCATGAGGCACAAGGAACCAGGATTCTGGCTTCCGACCAATTTGTGCAATTGTTGCAAACTTGGGTGAGGTTGAATAACGTATTTGATTTGAGCTGTTCATATCGAATATCGATGTTGCGTTAAACTAACATCTAGAGGTTTGCCAGTCTGTCTCACGTAAGATAAGGTGCAGCCATTACACACAGTCCTGTAAACATCGCCAACACAGTGTTGAGGGGAATTCTCGATAAAAATACTCTTAACCGTCTGTGAATTCTTAAAAACAACTTGTATGTTGAATCTTTTTAGGGCATTCGGCAGTACAGATAAATTCTCATTGTGACAGAACCACCACAACCTTGATCTGAGGAATTATTCTAGGTTCACTCCTGTGATGAGTTTTCCTAGCTGCCAGTAGATCCATTTCTACAAACTCCTTAGGGCAACGTAGTTTCGTAGCAATATCAAAGATTTTCTTTATTTCCTCATCAAGAAACTCTGGGCTACACATTCGGTAAGCTCTCAGAAACATGGAGAGAAAGACATCCTCATTTTTACTCTCGTTTCATGAATAGAGTAGTAATGGATATTTGAATACACATTAGTGACTTTCCTATTTACTGTAAACTTAAACATTCTATTTACCCGGTTGATCAGATCATCTAAAAATAGATGTTTAGAGTCCGCTGCTCTCTCCACGGTGAATTTAATGGACGGAACAAGAGAGTTAAGTCTCGGTAAAAATGCGTTCAGGTCCATATTATTCGGCCAAAGACATAAGATGACATCCACTTACCTGAACCACTAAGCTTCACGGGACAGGATGTCTTTCAACAGCTTAGTCTCAAAACACTCCGTGAACAAATTGTTTAATAGGAGAGACAGTCGATTTTCACTAGTCATTCCCTGTCTTTGAGTGTAATATTTCCCTTCAAACTCAAACTTGCAATCAACTACACACAACTTAATCAACTTAGAAATAATGCTTTTGTCGAATGGCATGAGAAACTCATTTAAATCTTCTTCCAGATAAGATCACAGATCGGGAACAGGAACTTGGGTGAACAATGCCATGACGTGTAAAATCATCAGACATTCTAACTTATTGCAGTTTGTCAATGAAGTCAACGTTGTTTTTTTATGTGGGCTTCAGAGATATTGCCAAGCATTGGGGGTTAATATTATAATCAACCATTTTGACAGGATATATGTCGCCGAGTCCACTGAGCTAATAATAGGTCTCGAGTTGGGTAGGTTAGATAAACTATTAATTAAAGTCTCCCTTTGGATAAACTATAGATGTCTCCATTTTGTTTTAAGTGAGTTGGTCGTAGACCCGTTTTCATAATATTACGGAATTTTCGTAATACAATTGCCAGAATTTGAAGTCTTTTATATTGTATAGAAGCCTGACTGATTTTTTTACAATTGTCAAGACACTAATGTTAGTTTCGCTAGGTCATTACTACATTATCAGTGCTTGTGGGTCGATTGTGTTCTGATGCTTTAATGTTCTGTTTCTGGCACCTGGCGCCGGTCTGCCTGACGTCTGCTGCTTCACTACATCAGCTAGAACGTTTCCCTTAACTAATTTGCTTGGACTTCCTACTCATTTCTGCAACACCGCAAGCTCCTGATGAAGAATTGATTGTAACACGAATATAAATAGGTTCAGAATTATTTTGGCGAAATTATTGCATACACAAATTTTCGCTTGTCCTATATGGCAAGATGAGCGTTGCTGTTTAAGCCAAAATCGCAAGTTCTGCCTATTCGGCACATTTATATATATATATATATATATATATATATATATATATATATATATATATATATATATAATATATATATATATATATATATGTATGTATGTATGTATGTATATATATTTCTCCTCCGCCTAGTTTTTGTCTCCTGTGGAGGTCAGCGGACTAAGTAAAATATGGCAGGACTGGTGCGTAGAGTTAAGGGACAGACTCGGAGAGTCACGTAGTCATTTTTAATTTCAAAACAAATTCACTGGTTTGTCTACACACATACACACACACACACACACACACACACACACACACACACACACACACACACACACACACACACACACACACACACACACACACACACACTCACACACCACACACACACACACACACACACACACACACACACACACTCACACTCACACACACACACACACACACACAACACACACACACACACACATACACACACACTCACACACACACACACACACACACACACACACACACACACACACACACACACACACACACATACACACACACTCACACACACACACACACACACACACACACACACACACACACACACACACACACACACACACACACACACACACTCACACACACACACATCACTTCCATCATCAGCTGACGATAGGTATTGCATGACAGATATTGCTCAATCCTATATCCATACGTCATCAATAATAATGATTAGTTGTGCATCAAGTGTGTCTACCATCAACACTGGTGAGAAACTTAGTGGCTCTGGCCATCCTGAAGACGCTCTAGTACACTTACATGAAAATATTTTCTGTTGGGTATTACCTACGTAGTGGTTTTCACTACTTCTTTCTTGATAAAACTCACATTGTCAGTATGTGTTGCATATAACTGTATTTGTGTCTCATGTAATTTTCAAACATCTCATACCCTTACTACCTCCCTAAGACCATGTGATGTATCTTCATGCATAATTCGTGTTACACCCCCTGAAAGGTACACAATGTATATAATGTATATTTGATGTATATTATCTCTCATATAATTTTATATTGTTGATATTTTTATTAATAGCTAATATGAAAATTTCTTGCTTTATGCTATTATTTGACTCAGCTATGTCATTAGATAGGATGTAACATTTACATTTCACTCTTCAAGAGTTGTGTTTGGCTGTCCACATTGGTAAACTGTTAACCTGACTATCAGCTCACTTGTTTACTTGCCGTCGTCTCTGCAGTACCAGGGAAGAGTCACATGATATCACCTGATGTGATGCCTCTAGTCGAGAAATTGCTGTCTCTCCTGAGCTGGTCATCGCTCGACAAGCACGGCTCTCCATCTGCTACTAATCCTGGACGCATCCCTCTCGTCACTGTCTGCTTGTCCGTTATTTAGACTGTTTTTGGTAGAGTATGATTTCGTTGGTGAATCGCAACATACATCTTGTAACTCTGTTCACAGAGCATTGTTCAGACTTAGTGACTTTTGACGTTTTGCTGAGGTTGTGTATCGTACCCACACTTTAAGTCAACCCAGGTCCCAAGCCAAAGCTTC